ATATATATATATATATATATATATATATATATATATATATATATATATATATATGTATATATGTATGTATGTATATGTATAGATGCATACATACAACAACATTTGTTGTTGAACTCATTTGGAGCAAAACATAAGCAACGGATACATGCTTCAACTGACCATGCAGCAGCAGCAGCAGCAGCAGCAGCAGCAGCAGCAGCAGCAGCAAAAGCAGCGGCAGCAACAGCAGCACCAGCAGCAAAAGCAGCGAGAGCAGCAGCAGCGGATGTTGATGCGAACACTAATACTTCTCTCCTGCTGACTCAACAGCAGCCCCAGCAGATATCGTTACATAACTGCTACTGGAAGAAGCAGCAGCAGCAGCAGCAGCAGCAGCAGCAGCAGCAGCAGCAGCAGCAACAGCAGCAGCAGCAGCTGCTGCTGGAGACTCACGGGTATGTCTTGCTCACGGATGTAGAAACCACAAACAAGTAAAATGATGACGAGGACAATCGGAGAAAAACTCTGCGCCACTGACAGCCGCGGAGCTGCATATACACCCGAAACAGCAGCAGCAGCAGCAGCAGCAGCAAATGCAGCAGCAACATATGAAACAGCAGCAAGTGAAGCAGCAGCAACAGCTAAGACAGAGTGACAGCACGCAACACCGCGGCCTCAAGGAGCACTGGCTCTGCGCCGCGACCGCACCAGCAACAGCAGCAACAGCAGCAGCAGCAGCAGCAGCAACAGCAGCAGCAGCAGCAGCAGCAGGAGCTGGGGTGTATGCTTACAAATGGATGCCGCGAAAAAGAGAAAAGAAGTGGAAGCAAAAATAGATAACTGGGCGATCAACAAATACAGAAAAAAACGGCCGACGTCAGCAGACATACCTGAGGTGTACAGACACCCCACGCAGCACGCACCCTCGCTCTTGCTCTTCTCTATCTTTCTATATCCTACGCAGACAGCTAGCTAGCTAGCTAGCTGGCTAGCTAGCTAGCTAGCTGAGAAACTCGTCAGGTGTAAGACACACGAGACGGACAGATGAGAGAAAGAAGACGAGGGAAGAAAAAGGAAAAAGGAGCAGTCGCTGCAC